CTATTTAGCCTTCTGCTTCAAACAGATGCACTGAATTACAGCTATTAAAATGCAAGATGAGACCTATAGTCTACTCAACTTATCCTGCCTCTTCTGTGATTCTTCTACAGCTGCTGATGCTGGCATATGGCACAGATGAGATATGGGACTTCCCAGGCATCACCCTGATCAGGTACCTCAATTTCTACAGATCACTGTGATCAACTGTATTTATTATTCTTTCATTATTATGATTATTTTTTATTTATGGTTTTATTTTATGTAGTGGAGATCATGGAGTTTAGTTTCATCATTTTATTGCAAAGATCTTGCCATCCTAAGGATGAAAGAATGTATTACTTGAAAGACATCCAAAAGACATTAGCTATCTTGGCATCTAAAGGAGATAACCTTCCAGCTGCCAGAGTTTTAAGTGCTTTATCTCACACTCTGTTTTCATTCAATAATCAGATTTTTATTAACTGAGTATTCAGTACTCAGCCTTCTGAGGGCTCAGTACTTCGTGTGAGGACAAGCAGACTTTGATAGTGAATCTCACTTGTGATATATTTACTTTTTCTAAATGAAAAGAATTGTTGCTAAATGTGCATCACTAACTAGATTGCTCCCTCCTCTAACTTCTGATAGGAGCTACTCAAATTCTAAGTGAAGTTGCTTGCCTTTAAAGCATTTTAGGTAGACTTTCTGTATGTAAGGTTTTTATTTTTTTAAAAGCATAATTTCCATTAACTCCTGCTTCTAGTCAGGCTATAAATACCAGAGGAACAGTCTCCCTCCTGGTATTTTGGCACTTCTGCATCTTTTCATAGCCAGAAAAAGTAAGTGGAGAGACATGAAAATGAAAAAGAATGAAAAAAACAAAGGACAGAAGAAGAAAAAGTTAACCAAAGCACCCTATGAATGCCAAATAAAAATTACACACCTTTGGATTCAAATAGTCTCCCGTGTAGCATTTTGTTTACTTACAAACGTGTTTATTCCAAAACAGCACCGCACACGTTACTAAAACTTGTCTCCAAACTTGTCTAAAGCTTGTCTCCATGCCTGGTCCTTTGGCAGAGCTCTTTCCCGTGTTTTGGCACCTGATGACAGTGTGCTAACTCTTATTTCACTTTGACTGAAGGTGCAATTTCTTATGAAATACCCAGCCTGGGATGTTCTGATGTTAAGTTTAAGCCACTGGCCCCGAGTGTATTTGTCTAGGATTCAGGTAATCTGAACTCAGTTCCTATCTCCTCCACAGTGCACTCGTATGAACCTGACAGACTTCTTGGGTGGTGCCTCCCATCCATTTCTGCTTAATGACTATACAAAGTTTTTACTCTCTGCAAGTCATCATGCAAATGCATCAATAAATCCTTATGAGATGTTTCCATATCTCAAGGGTCAGTCAGAAGGTATATTATTAAGCTTACATGTGATTCCAAAGCCTAATAGAAGAACAAGGCATAATCACGTCTCTCTCTTTTTTAAACATCACAAATAATTCTGATCAAGTCATCTCACTTGAATATTGGATTAAATTCTTATTCAATTATTACCTGCTCCAAACACATTTCATACAGTCACAGAATAGCTAAGACTGGAAAGGACCTTAAGATCATCTAGTTTCAGCCCCCCTACGATGGGCAGGGACTCATCCCACACTTCTCTAACTGACATCTAAAGCAGATTTTCAATGTTAATAAAATATAAGATAAATTAAGAGTGCACACAGAGAAACCTTCTGAAATAAAACAAGCCTCTTAACTCTGAAGCATCCACATGGAGCATCTCTAGCAAAGTCCAATACAACCACCACTGTGCTACTCACCAACAAATACTAGTCATGCCTGGGCCCTACCAGATGCAAACAGTGCTGTATAGTCAAGCCATCTTTAAAGAGCTATTTCCTTGGTGCAGTTATCTGAAATATTTAAATTCAGCTGTCTGTATTAAATAGCCTCCTTTCTTGGCTGTTTTTTTGAAATCTCAGTGGTATCTCATGCAGAGAGTTTAATATTTATTTTCCCACTGGTGCAACGCCTGTAAAACTGTTCTGTAAACTGCTAAAATTAACTTCAGCAATTTTATTAATTAGAATTTGGACTATCAAATAAAGTGATTCTTAAAACTTCCATATCCAGATTTTCCTTTGCACTCATTGTTTATTATGGCATCATTTGTGAAGGTCACACTAATCCTATGGGAGAACCAGACAATCCTAATTATATTATTCTTTATTTCTTTTCTAAGTTGATGCTATAAAATACTGTTATAAAAAACTTTCTCACAGAAAGCTGCCCTTAGTCTTGAAGAGCAGAAACAGCATAGTTTCAACCTAATTTGTATTTTATGATTTTAAAATATGCTGAACTGACATCTCCGGAGGCTGGGGTTTGTTGTATACACACAGAATAAGGACATTAGAGTGAAACAAAACAGCAGAAGCTTCCCATGGCAACATGCCTTGAAACTGTCTTTGAACCACCACCTCGAGGGGTGACAGCATTTCAGTTTCTGTGGCTGTGTCTTTCTGATGAGGCTTCTAATGAACGAATACAACTGTGAGACTGTTTTCTCATATATAACACCACTCCAGTATTTCTGGTAGGCAGGGCACTGACCCCCCATCATGAGGTAATGACTTCCAGTTGGTTACTGTACTTCTAAATGTCAAATTTTATCCTTAAAACCTCCACTGTGTAAAGGTCTAGCACAGAATTAAGTTCTCTCCCTGCAGATCATCACAGGAAGTCAGTTGTTATGGATTTACCCTCTACCTTAGTTTTCTGTAGTCCATTTCAGCTCCCACTGAGCAAATTCCTCCCTACTAGGTCTCAACTGACTTCAGTCATATCTGGATATATCCGTGACCCTTCATATCTTCAACAAACAGACACGGATGTTTCCATCTGTCCTTTGTTGGATGACTCACTGCCTTATTCCTCTTACCCAATTTATAGTTCTGCTGATTACTCTGAGAGTTCAAACTCTTCTATGTCATTAAGATGTAACTAAGCTCTCTGCATACCGGATACAGTCATGCTGCTCAACAGTTACAAAAGGTAAAATGGTTCAAATGATCATGTCAAAATGTCTCATTTTCCCAACTATTTCTTGAACTTAACCTTTTCCATATTCCTGTTTCTCTTTTCCCCTAGTTATAAATGCCTCGAGCATCCTTTTTATTTCACTTCTCTCTTTTTCTTATTATGGCAAAAAAAATCCTTTGCCCATGAGAACCTTTTACTTGAACCACAGAAAACGTTTCCAGTGCAACTGCATATGAATCTTGTGGGTTTCTGAACACGTACCTAAGGTCAGGTTCACTAATATCTTTGCTAAATGCTAAGTAAGCCTGACAAGATTTCCAGCTCTGCACTGAAAGCAAAGAGACATATGCAATATAACGCATAGTGAAAATCACCCCTTTCAACTGAGTTGTGCTTTGATGTCCCTGAATAGATTGACTACCAAGGTCAAGGCAAAAGCCAAAGGATGAGCATGGGAGCCTGAAGATTGCAGGTGGTGAATCAAACCCATCAGATAATAGGCTTTCTTTGCTCTGCAGATAATAAATAACTGCTAACCCATATCATTGAATTATGCCTAAAAATTTACTTTCTAACAGGTTTATGGAGGACCTGTGTTATATTTTTACCTGGAAGATCTGCTTGTTTAATTTGCATCATGCATTGACAAGGGCCAGCCTCTGTTCATTTCTTGGAGATGCCACATTATCAGTCCATTTGAGTGTATTTTAGAGCTAAACTACTTAATTTATTCATTATCGAGGTATACTGACTACCAGAGCGAAACAGTTCAGATAAGATACTCTCTTTTCACACTGTCTTTCACCACATGTCAGCTGAAAGGGACACTAAACTACTGAACTTTATGTTTGTTTTGAAACTGCCGTTTAGTCCAGTTGAAAGTCTCATCCAGATCTTGAAGAACAAACAAGCAAAAGAACTGGTTTCTGTCACAGAATCATAGAATAGTTAGGTCATGATTAATTACAATGGAAATCAGTCCCAGCCTAAACATTTACTGAATGCTTAATCCCCATTAATGTTTTTACTGAATGCAAAAGACAGCTTCATGGAAAAATATATCATATTCATGGAAAAATATATAATATTTTTATTATCAGTATCCTGAGAATATTTTTTTCTGGTTGGTTTGGTTTGGTTTTTTTTTTCTGCAGCAAGTGGTTCCTTGGGAAAAAGGTACCTGGTAAAAAGCAGAAATAAGACTTTTTGGTGTGCATGCATGAACGTAGCGCTGCTAACAGAGGAAATATTTTAGCATGGGATAAACCATGATAATAGGCAAACATACAGGAGGTTTATTTGATATGCACAAGCCAACTAGGGTAGTCAGCCCATGCAGAATGCCAGAACTCTCTGGGGAAGTGGGTAGCAGTAGAAGGTGATGCCACAAAGAGGTATGGAACAGTGTGTGACAGAAAGACAGACAATCCAGTGTCAGCTCATTTTCCTTGCTTGGAGTCTGGCTTATCTAACCAAAGTGCCCACTTTGCTTTTGCTCTTGTCACATGCAAGTTTCTTTCTTAGAATGCTGGGCAAAGTAAATATGCTGTCAGCACATACTAGTTTATAGCAATCACTTCTTACACCAAATGCTTTTGATCACCAACTATGTTAGAAAAAAATCACAAAAAAAGGAAAATCTGTGTGATTTTTCACTCACTGTTGTTGTCTCCTCTTTGTCCTAACTTCCCAGAAATGCTAAAAAGACGGATGGAAAGGCAGTCAAAAAGCCACATATAGTGAATAACATTAAACACTAAAATCTTATGCTCTTTGGATGCTTATCCTTCTCACAGTAATGGCAGTAGTCTCTAAACATAAGGAATAAAAACCAATCAGAAAGACCATCACTTCTTAAACACTGTATTTACTAAAATGTGAAATTAAATTGCTCAAACTTGTGTACTGCAGCTCAGCCCTGTCGCCACTCTACACTGCTGAAAGACCACCTTATAAACATGCTACCTTTTCTTCCCTGTGACGGTTAACCTCCTTTATAACTACTTTGCATCCAAGCAGCAGTGGATGTTTTGTTTCCAGAGCTGTGGAAGGATAGTACACAGCATGAGAGAGAAAGATTTTAAAAGGTGAAATATCTCAAAGTACTTTTTGCTTTATGAATAAATTCTACTAGAGATACAACTAATCATCTTTATGTCAGTTTACAGTACCTTAAAGTATTTTAAGCAGTCTCCATTTGATGTCCTGATCTGACTTCTCTAGGTACAAATAAGTACTGTCATCAGCTACAAAGCACCATAAACTATTCTTCTTCTTTTACTGGTATGGACATTTCAAATTCTGTAGAAGACAGAGTTACCCACTGCATACAACATAATTTAAGCAATAGTAAGAGGAATACACACCAACCATAAGTATACACTCAAGCTACTATGAACTACCAATATGTCTGCCTACGAAAGGCCTAGTCCTTACATGAATACACATAAATATTTGCACATTTGCTTATTTTGTGAAATTTAATAGCTGTATACTCACATGACTTCCTGTTTGCTCGTGACCGCTTCCTCTCTCTAGGCACCGCTCGCTGGCTTGGCACTTGGGTGGCAGACTTCACAATGCGATCCATGATCTCATCTGCTGCATCATCTGTTGCATTAGGTGAATCGTCGTTGCCAGCATTCCATGAACCAATACGGCCTGGAAAATCCAGCAAATTAATTGAGGGAAAAGAAGACACAGTCTCTTGCGTCACTTTGGTTTTGCAATTGGGTTTTGGGGGAATTACAGCAGGAAGCTCAGTCATCACTACTTCAAATTTGCCAAAGGAGAAGACTCTGCCTAACGAAGAACATTACAAAATAATACCCTAGAATCTCTGCTGTATCAGCAGAGAACAGAGAGCTCAAATGCAATTATAATTTTCTATTCCCTTCAGCCTCAGAGTCTTATTCTTGACCAGACTGGCAAAGGTCTGCTAGAGACTGACTATAAACCAAGTTTCCTTCCACTCCTATTACAGAGACACTAACACACACGGCACATATTAGAGATTGATGCAAATCAGCAAGACAAGTCCTATGCACCAAAAGAGAGAAAGAATCAGTTTCTGAGCATCTGTATCACGCAGCCTATGGCAAACACAACATGAAAAGGGCAAACAGCATGTTTTGACATGTCTCATTGTCCTTTCCACAATGAAGAATTCACCTTCTCATCGCAAAGCTGTATGTGTCCTGGCACAACTGTGTGTACTCTGTTATGAACAGAAGAGCAAGAGTCGTTGGCAAGCTGAAAAGCTAAATAAGCAATTTTGGTTAAAACCACAAACAAACAAGTGAGCCATGTCTCCGAACTGAAGGCTCTGTCATTCCTCACTCCAAAGACACATCTTTGGGTTCCTCCACTACAGGCTACTGCTGCATGTGCTTTTTGTTTTTTTTTTAACGTGAAGGCTAGTATGCAGTGTGAACACTGACAGTGAGCTTTGCGAAAGAGTGGCTGTGGCAGAATTGCAAGCAGCTAAAATTCATTTGCAAGGCCAGTCTACATCGTGAACCTGATACCAATAAACAACAGCCTTGATTAGCACTCTGCTCTCCTGCTTGTGTCCTGACTCTCATCAAGAGCAGTTCTGTTATGACAGTGCTCATGAGAAGCTTCTGTCTGGCTCACCCGTCCTCTGCCTCTGCTGTTCTTCAGGTGAACACAAGCTGACTCTTATTATCAGGACACACTGCCTGTTAGCATTCAGTGGATTACTTCAGCTATTCCGAATGTTGCAGTGCAGTCTGAATTATTTCATCTTTGTACTTTAAGTAGTTGACTTGCTTCTTAAACTGAGGCTGTGAAACCTCTAAATTAGACAGGATTGAGCCTTAATAAATTACACACACACAGACTCAGTGGTGGATGGTCTGCTTGTGCTATCAGTGGTACCAGAAAAGAATCAAGAAAGTGTAAGGTCTCCAAATGTGAGGGAAAAGAAATATCAGAAGAGAAAACTTAAGACTTGGTTTTTTGTGCATCACCTTTACTTCAAAACCATCTTTCTGGTATCATATGTATGGGAGGAGGTGAGGGGAAGATGAAGGAAAATAAACTGGTGAACCCATGGTCTGTAAAATGATTTAGCATAAAGAAAGCGGTTTAGTGGCTGCTTGAATGAAGAGGTACCAGCAAAATTATGTCTTGGTCAAAAACCAAGTCTATCTCATTGCCAAGAATGGTTGTACCAGTGAGCTCATGTGAGAGCATCAGGTGCTGGAATTGGTGGATTGCTTCAGGTTTTCATTTCTTCCCTGTCATGCTGTGCCATGCTGACACCTGGAAACAGCAGAGCACTGTGGACCTCAGAGAAAGACGCATCAGCCAGGACAGCAAGGAGATGCAGGGCTATCCACCTCAGCTTTTTATGCTCCTAGTCTCCACTTAATCCACTATCTCTACAGTTTAGCAGGGAGGTGATTAAAAGATTTATCATCTCTTCCTTACACATTTTCCTCTCCCCACTCATTCCTAAATTGCAGCAAAGCCCTTTCACTTCAGTTTAAATTGGTACTTTCTACTTGCTTCTATTGAAAATAAAAAGAAAACCACATCACAGATTCTCGAATGCCTCATTTTGCTTTCTTCATGAGAACAGGAATAAATATTGGGGTGTTAGCTGGAAGCCAGGTTCACAGTGGGTCGAGAGGTGGGAATTTCTGCAGTCTTGGACACCCAGTGTCCCCAGGCACCACCTGGGCTGTGAAACACATGTTAAAACTTCAGGCAAATCCTTCTACATCTCTGTGCCCCATATCACAACTTCCAGCATGGAAACACCACTGGTGTGTTTTTCCTTCCCCATCGACCCTTTCTGCTGCAAGTGCTATGCAAGACAACCACGACCCACAATTGGGGCACTGTGTGGCTACCATGCCACAAGAAATGTAGCCAAAGGAAACTCCTGGCACTTACCTCGGCTGGCCCGGCTTCGAGTGCGGACCCCGAGTGTTGTGGTGCTTTCCCCACCAATGGAGGAGGTCTTCAGTACAGCCTTCATGTTCTCATGCTCTGCAGCATCTTCAGCATACTGCAGGCCCTGGGGCTGGCTCTGGCAGGGGGGTGAGCTGCTGGAGAACTTGCCGGACTGAGGGAGAAAACAGGTTTATTGTTTTAACAGAAAACAGCATGGAGAATAGGCCAGAGATGTAATCGTGAATTGCAAGGAGAAAAGTGTCCCCCTGGGCTTGGAGTGCAGCTATTCCCCAAACAGTTGCTCCTCTCCCAGGGCACAAACCCTGAGCAGAGATAAACTGGAAACAAGGCGACAGCAGGGAGCAGATACAATCAGAGGGAAAACAGATGTATTGGCTTAGGCTTTAGAATTTTGACCTTCTGACAGTGTAAGGTACAAAGCAAGGACTTGCTTTGAAACCTTTCACCCAAGCGGGACCCAGTCCGGGGTCAGGTATGACACTGAGGGGAACAGCATGAGACCTGACACGAATAAGGAATTACTTTTTTTCTGTTCAATCACCTTTCAGTAACAAGGCAAAATGTGGAGACTGGTCTAGGAAGAGACACCTTTTCCTCTTGTCTCTCTGCACTGCTGCACAGAAAATTCCCAAACTGGTCTAAAACACAAATATCCACAAGTAACCTTAAAATACATTACTAGTAACGCTGAAAAAATCCCCTGTCGCAAATCACCCAGCCAAATTATTTCATGGCCAACACACAAAAATTGCAGTCAGCAGTTAGAGGAACAAACAAAACCTTACAAGAGATTTAGGAATCTGCCCTCTGCTTCCCCAGCCGCCCTGTGATTTCACTGTCACCACGACTACGTGAACAACAGCAGCTACATTATCTGGGCACACATAGTGCCTGGATGCAGCAGCTCCACTGCTTACTGACAGCAGCCATCTAGAAACTGATGAAAACAGCAGAAACAGATACTTTCTAAGGAGAAGAGCTTGCACTGCTGGGCTGCTCTCCCTTCCCGGCCTCAGCCTATAAAGGGCTGTGATGTTCGTAGCTGCTTCACTGCTCTTAGCTACAAGAAAGGCTGAAGCGTGTTTAAAATACAGTCCTGGCTGCAGAAAATACCATCTCTGTCAACAGCAAACAGGCATCAACAGATGATAATTCTCAGTCAATCAGTCCAGCATCAGAAACTGAAATATGTTTTCTTTTTGGTTTTAATCTTTCTCACTCTGGCCAATTCAGCACAGACGGAAGAAGGTGTGCTGCATTCTGTTCTTTCTTTGCATAATAAACAACATTAATTATTCTCTTGATGGTACCGAGCCAGGCAGGTGACGGGATGCAAACTTGCAGAGCCTTTCTGTCTAAGAACAGTAAAGTGGAAGAAAAGACTGGGCCCTATATTCCTAGCTTTGATCAAATCCTTGGGGCTGTCAAGGCTACAGATTAAAACTACTTAATCTGGAAAACAATGACAGGGTGATTCTATTTTAACATTATGACTTTTCCGGTTAGGATAGCAAGTTAACTGAGTAGCAAAACAATAATCCCTACAAGGCACTAAGATGAATATACCAGTGTGAGATTTATTTGTTGATAGTGAGAAGTTTGTTTTCTTCTTAAAATATTATCTTGCAACATTCTGATGTGGAAAGCAGGCAAGTGCTAGAACTTCATATGTGAAATTAAAAGACAGAAAAACATGAGAGAAATTTCTATGAGAGTGCATGCCATTTTTGCATTAAGAATACTCTGTTACGCACAATGGGTTGCAAAGCTAATCAATACCATCTCAGGAAAAAAACCCTAAAGGATAAAGCCTTCACATAACTGTTATGTACTATTCACACAGGTTAGTTAAATATTGGCATAAACAGGTTAATTCATGTAATTTTCTTCCTGCACCCCAAGCTGTACGGCTAAAATCATCACTGAGGCAGAAGCTCTATAGCTAGCCCTTTTATTTCACTTCCTTGATTTTCAGATGTTGCTGTAGATTAATGCCCAAACCCCAGACTCTTGAGCAAATGACTGCCATTATGACACAGTGAGCATTAACCCACATTGTTTACGTTTGGCGAATTGGAGAAAGCTGTAATGCTCAACAAAAAATGCATTGCACAATAGATGCTTCTCAAACCAGTACATTGTTTTATTATGAATACAGCTACCGCATTATGGTTCTTCAGTTATTTATTCACTCCTTTATTAATTTTCAATATCACCTGCAGGAACTATTAGTGATAAAGACATGAACTACTCCATGGCTCATCTCTATGGCGATTGAAGCATCTTATTTGCAATTCATACAATAAGGATAACCATTACAGTTTGCTTTGCATCCCTATATCCTGAGGCTTTGGAAAACTTTATAAAATAACACAATTTTGACTTCCACAGCTTAATGATGAGTATGAAAATACCATGGTATTCCATGGCCTGAGGTAACTAATGATCCCCATAACATTCAGACCACTGTTTTGGGTAGCAGGGATACTTTGCAGTTTTGTAAACAGACATTAAGGAAAAGAAATGAGGAAACTTAAAATTATTAAGGCCTCAGATCAGGATATCCTTATTCAAGAGAATAGGTATGCTTATGGTTAAAGGTGACTGTAAAAATGCATTCTTATGATTGAGCCGAAAAGCTATGAGAAAAATGTCATGGTTCCTAGTTGCAGTAGAGCAGATGGAGTTGATCAGTCCATATTATCTGTGTTAGAAATTAAGTGTCACAGAACACGGGGGACATGGAAATGACATGCTCTTTCAGAGAACCATACCTCAGCATCCTCTTCTTCATCAGTCTGCCACTGGAAACAAAGGACAGGGTAGAGAAGGACAAATAGGAAGATTAAGGAAAGACAGTATGGTCAAACCACGACAGAGTAAGAGGTACCCATGGTGCTGTTTATGCAATTGTAAGAGACATAAAAATACAAATTGTATAAGGAATTAATTCCTGACTCAGTCAGCTTGCTTGTTTTTTTAGTGAACTGCATGTAGAACAGCCTGTGACTGTCAGTAGTGCTGATTTTTCTTAGAGAAGTTATGAACTGAAATTTCCCCTAACCCATCCTATAGAGAAATGATGAACTGAAACTATCCTAACCCATCCTATTTCTTTCCCTTGAGTTATGAGGTTGCTTGCCCACTTTCTGCCCTGTGGGAATCGAGAGCACTAGGAAGGAATCAGTCTCCTTTTTCCAGCTCTGTTCAGCACAGGGAGGTCTTGGCTGCTCTTCCTCCCAGTGCAGAGGTCAGCTTCTTGGCAATTCCTTTTCTCTACACTTAAGTACATCTAATTCCATTTTAAGACATGGCTTTTCAACTTCCAGTTTAACAGAGCACTCAAATCAAATGCTGAGTTGTCTCTGAATAGATGCTTACAGTTCTTCAGTAGCTGCCCAGTATCAGATCCTGGAAATTAGAGAGGTGCAGTTATCATTTGTCATTCGAGGGCTTTCACCCTCTGTGACAGCAGGAATGTAAAAGTATCTTGACAGTTACACTACATAATGCAATGGGCATATCAAAATATTGTGGCATATGGAGTGCTCTTACATTTGGGGATTTACAGGGAGTTAGGAAGACATTTAGAACTCTGTTCCCAAACGCCTGGGGAACTCTTCACTGGGTTATAAGATGCCCCACATGGAAGGTTCCCAAAGTAGAACAGTTTCCCAAGTATCTGGGCTTCTTGTTTCCATAATTTTCAGTTTCATTGCTTGTGAAGTACAAACATAGGCCAGAAATTTGATGCATTTTATATTTGTGGCTTTTGTTTGTTTTTTTAGAAGAAACATTCCATCAATTCTATTCTCCTCCCCAGTGTTACTAATACATTTTTTTGACCTTATCTCCATCTCAACTATGATTTCTGTCTGGGCTTGATACATTCTGTTCTAGAAACATTCATCATTAAAAATGAAAGCCTGATTTACTTTGGCCCTCAGCTTAGTTTCAGCACAATCTCCATAAGAAGATTAGCTGTGAGAGTGCTGAATAGTATATTAACATTGCTTTTTAAGGGTATGTTTTATTCAAAGAGTGAGATGCTTATTTTTCTTTGGACACAGTGGCACTGACAGAAACATGGGCAGATGTTTTGCAGAGGGACCTTGGCAGGTATGTTCCCTTTACATTAAAAAGATCCATTTGTTTCTTTCCCAGGTGGCAGGAAGTCACACCATAAACCAATTCGTCTGAAGAAGGCCACTGTTCGCTTTTTGGCATGAACAAGAAACAGAAGGGAGAATAATAGGAAGCAAGAACATACTTGTACTCTAATCCATGTGTACATCAATATATTAAATAAAAGGAGGAGAGCAAATTATGCTAAACAATATGCAAAAGGCACTCAAGAAAAGGTGAAACAGCAGAGTATACACATTACAAAGACTGTACTCCAAACAAAAGTGTATGATATTAATACTTTACATCAAGCTAGATTTGTACAGAGCAAGTCCTTATCTGCTGGCCTTCCTGCCCATTTAATTGAGCTAAAAGTGCTTTGCTGTGGACTTAAGTTTAGGGCAATGTGCTCCTCTGTTTGTAATATTACCAAAATTACTGAAAGAATACTGCGATAGTGAATGCTCGCAGGCACAAGATGTTAATTCTAAAAAAAAAAGACTGCTTGATTCTTCTGTCATCCAGTATTGGCTATTGCAGGACAATCTGAGATCTCCCTCCTTCGGTCTTATTTTTTCCTTTAGGCTAACATTTCTATGCAGTGGATTTGCTGTTTCAAAATATTATTACGTAGCAATTTTGGAAGTGAGCAGAGCTTCATAAATCTGGGATACAGATGCTTATATTACCCACTATTATTAAAATTCATTACAAAGCTCAGACTTATATCTATAATTCCATTTTTTCTTATTTTGCTTGCTTGTCATTTTTAGTGTGCCTGAAGTGAGTGCTATCATTGGCCAAAGCCAGATATGAGGTTGCAGAGGCAGACAATTTTCCCTGTGAAACTGTGGCAACTCACTGTTCTCTTTTTCCCTAATTCCCTCATCTTTCTCTCTTTTGCAGACAACATTCACCAAGATTTAAACTGACAGTGCTCCATCCATTTCAGCTATTAAAGAACATACAAACATAAAGATCTCTGTCGTCAAAGGCTGAAAGACTAGAAATATTCTTATTGTCTTTCTCAGCCCTACTCCATGTGAGCAGTTGCTAAAGCTGATGCAAGTTCTCCACGTATGGAGCCAGCAGAGTCTCTCTACACAAAAAGCCAGCACCCCTCTGCCATCCAAGTCTGCAGGGGGGACCATGGTTTAGGAGATACGCGCCTTCTTGTTAAGAACTGGCATGGTTCTGCCTTAATCCTTTCCCATTTTTGCTAAAATCCCTCTTCTTCTGCCTAAAAGCCACGTACTATAAGGTGATAAAAATGAGATCCTGAGGAAACTTTCCAAAGGACGGGGAGGTAAATATCAAATAACCATGCAATCCTTCTAAGTCACCAAAAGCAGAAATAAAAATTCCACAGGACTACTTCTTGTCTTATTAGAACTACTTTCTACTAAGTTTCTTTCCAATCTCAAGATCGAAAGTTTCTTCTACCAGTGTTCTACAACTAGTTGAATACACTGGCAGTGCATTACTGATATCTCTTTCCTTTCCAATGCCTTCAAATATAAAACACTATGAAAATCAAGACCAGATACAAACCACAGCCAACACAAAACTACAATAAAACTCCCCTGTATCATCATTCTTCACACATAAATATCTTCCATCCTGCTGAGTTGGAAACTTGTTTTGAGGTAGATCTAACTTTGAAGTTCACAAAGGAAGCTGTGACAAATAGTCTGATGCAATTTTAATCCTGTTTTACCATGCATTGCAATCAAATGAACTGTAAACGAGACCGTATTGCTGGGCTACAGTTAAAGAGATTTAGGAAGTCCTGAAATAACCATATAGCCACCTGAATAATTCCCTTAAAGAACATCTCCATGAAGGGAATTTTAAAGAATGTGTAGCAAAAAATGTGGAGCTGTCTTTCTGGGGACCTGCAAGACATTTTTAGGTGGAACACTACCTTTCAGATGGCAACTAATTATTTTCAAATCTCAACACTAGCTTAAGACTGAACAAGACAACTTCTTCCAACACTATTTTTTCCTGGGAAAGGCCTAGCTGTCTCCTTCCTTACATTTTCAGAATACAGCCACTTTCCCTGGCTCTGCTCCTCACTGACTAGCTGTCAAGCCCGAGCCTTCTGGCCTGAAAGGGTCCCTTCTCTCTGCTTCCTGAACTCAAATGCCAGTGATCAGATTTCCTTTTGCCTCCACATTTCCTGCAGCAACAGGACATAGAGAAGCTGTCTGTCCTGCCATAACCAGTTCTTCTGTACAGGTAATACAGAAACACTACATGATATGGTAGGAAAACTGTAACTCCTTCTCAGTATTGTTTTAACTAATACTTATTGTTTAACCTAGTAAGTACTGAAGCTGAGGAAATGAAAATTTTAATTTACCAATCTCTTTGGTTTAATGCTATCTTTTAGTTCCTCTAGAATATGTCAGGAAAACCAAGAAATAATTGAAGTGATCTCAGTTCCCCACTGGTAGTTTTGAAAACTTGTATGACTATATTAGACGCTTCACATAAAATAAGTGCCTCTTCCTTAACCTGAGGCTAGACCAAAAGGAAAATCTTCTGAGATAATAATACAGGTTTAATATTTTTTCTAGATGGGGCAGATTTCCAAATTTAAAGAGGATATTGCCAGGAAAAATGATTGTGAGTCAATGATTTAAATACAATCTCAATTTATATCAGTTTCAACACATATATATTTTTTTGACCCACACAGCCTGAGCCATAAACCTGTAATCAGCGTAGAGCTTTCCATGCCAAAGGCAGGGGTAGCTTCATGTGCAACGAACCACTCACATCTAATTGAGACTCCAGATTTGGATTTTGAGACAGCTGGAAACTTTTATTAAGTACTGGCACTTCTTAAAACTTTATTTGGATTGAGTCAAACTACATCAACTTAAAAAAAAAAAAAAGATTAAAAAAATCAAGGGGATTTTAAAGTTTACTATGCTGAGAAAACTAATCTTAGTTTAATTTATTCTATCAGCATGCGATCATACTTGCAATCAAAAAGTCTGCAAGGTAACAACTACTGTGAACATAAATTTGTCCGTTCTTTCAGAACCCCGAAGTAGTCTGTTCCCATAAAATTGGCTGCTCTGTCCTTTAAAGTTAAGAAGAAAATTGCTATGTGTGTGCATGCATATATATATACACACACACTAAAAACAGATAAAACACTAAGATTAAGCATTATATTACAATATTAAAAAATGGAGAAAAAATCCATTTAAATTCGGTTGTAACGATGTAATTGGCTACAATGCTATAATCTAAATGCTTTTTATTTTTCTTTTTCATATTCTTAGCTGATCAGGTATACATACAGCTCCTAGTGTCTTTTAGATATTTTGGCCACTGTCTGTGCAACACGCAGAGATGCACTTTTTGCATGCTTAATTTCAGTTTGGTCTCATTCTACAAATTGATAAGGAAGCAAAAAACATACAGTCAAGGACCTGAAAGTTTTGTCTTCTAAGAGAGCAGAGTTCATTATTTATGGTAGCAGAACCTTTTAAGAATAAAACAGTAACAGCACTTCATATATGACATTCACTGAAAGAAAGCTTTAAAACCCTGCGCTGTGGGAGACATATTTTGCCACTTACATCTGTTATCATTTTCCCTCTGGTCTTGTTTCTTTCCCTGTGGTTTGCTCGTTTCTGTTTTTGCTGCAGAACTCGCTCCCTGGTGGTGCGGTATTCCAGAGCAAATTCACTGATGATTTTGCAGAATTTATTGATGTTCACTTCACGTATTGCATAAGGAGGATGGCCCATAAATAACAAAAATGAGTGAAACCTGGAAAACAGTGAGTTCATAAATGCAAAGGAAAAAAATCTTTATTGATGGTTTCTGGAAAATAAATAAATAATTAGCGAATCATTTATTACTTTATTAGCTCCCATCATTTCTTCTGTGCTACAGAATTTTCATGGATGCTTTGCATAACACTGGTATGTTTTATAATTAAAACCATGAAAGTCTAGTCTATGATAACTTCATCCCAGTCCACTTTCCCAGGCTGATGCAGGAGATTAAGATGTTTATGGAACTCCATCTACTTTACATGACTAATTTGGCATGTGAATGACCAATTTCATGTCAGTTATAGAAAAAATATTTATTAAGTTTCAATTCTATTTGTTTGTATTAAGCAACTTCAAAGAGGCTGTTACGATGTTGGGGAAAGTCTAGACAAGAAGAATGCAGATTTACAGGCTAGCAAACACAAGAAGAAAAGAATTTCTGGTTCACAAAACTGACCATAAAATTATATTATCTATTAAGGACTTTAGTTTGGGATACTCTCAATTCACAGTTTTACTGCTTCTGTGGAATTCAGAGCTTTTGCACTATTTCCCACTTTTACTATTGCTTCTATACTGCATGATTTACAATAGTGCACTGAATGTTTAAAAATGTATGGGAATTCCTTTTAACTGCATCTATGTCCCTGATAAGAATATGTCTTCCCAGTCCTAGAAAGATGCAAGTACATGGACACATTTTTTTGAGAACTATAGTAGTAGCTTTAGGACATAATAGGAAAGTAAATTTTTTTCTTGTTTTTACAATGCATATGGTAAACACAACCAAAAACTGGTGAATTCACTTCCCTTTCACTGCAGTTAGGATTTCTGCTTACTTATGGCAGGAAAACTAAGTCATGAAAACAAGAGGAAGAGCTGAATGAACTTTTCAAGCATATATCCACAAATATGTCCAACTGTGTCTAGTTCTGGGCTTCTGAGTTCAAAAGAGACAAGGAACTACTGGACAGGGTCCAGTGGAATGCTATGAGAAGGATTAGGAGACTGAAGCATCTCTCTTATGAGGAAAAGCTGAGAGAGCTGGGCCTGGAGAAGAGATGACTGAGAGGAGATATTAACAATGCACACAAATATGTTAAGGGTGGGTGTCAAGAGGATGGGCCCAGACTCTTTCCAGTCGTGCCCAGCAACAGGATAAGAGGCAATGGACACAAACTGAAACACAGAAGTTTCATCTGAATTTGAGGAAGAATTTCTTTACTGTGAGGGTGCTGGAGCACTGAACAGGCTGCCCAAGGAGTCTGTGGAGTCTCCCTTTCTGGAGACATTCCAAACCTGCCTGGACACATTCCTGTGTAACATGCTTCAGGTGAACCTGCATTAGCAGGGCTGTTGGACTAGATGATCTCCAGAGGTTCCTTCCAGGCCTAATGGTTCTGCGATTCTGTGAAATCTGGGATCATTTGGTATCCAGATCCTAGTTTTGACCACAGCACTTTAGAAATTATTCAGAAGTTGGAAAATCTCTCAACATTTCATTAATAAGCAGGTACATAGATAAATTACTCAGTTGACTTAAGCTATATTTATGAATCTGAAAATAAAAAGCTCAGGTGTATTGCATAAGTATCATGAGTATCCACATTTAAAGGCACTACAATTACTGTTAACTCCACTGGATGAAACTAAACCCAAGAGCAAGTTCTAAGGAGAGGAATCTTCTGCTGTGTAGGAGTAAAACACATAGTTGTAGATCTTACAAATAGGTAGGAGTGGTGCTGCATATAGAAAAATTCATTATACAAGACTCATTTCAACCTCTGCATATGACAAATTTGTCATTAGAACTTAATGTTTTGGGATTTTTGCTACAGGCTGATTTTGTTTATCAGACAGAAACTGTAGCAATCATAAAGCTGGTAGCTTTTGGAGTTAAAAGACCTGGTAACATTGCTTGCTGGAAACACTTATGCAAAAGCATATTTATGCTGTCATAATTTATAATTTTAGCAAGTCATTTAGTATCAAGATATTGCTGTCACCAATCTAATTCTGTACCTGTTAATTATTCTTCTATGAACAATCTTCAGGATTATAATTCTTTCTGCACAGTCTTTAAGGAACTCAGACATTTTTTGCTTCAGAGTTGGCTTCATTTCATGCTTTGCTATAGCCTTCAAGTGATCCCACGATGCTTTGCACCGCCTTTCCATCTGACACAAGTTTTCCTGGAGTTGTTCAAAGTCAACCTGAAAAATAAAGAAAAGGAAAGAAAATGTAACACTTTAAGCAAAAAACACTGTGGTAGCATCCTTGGATGTCTGTACAATGCAATATATGTATAAGAAAGTGTCAGCACACAACATTAATTCACATTATTAATTACTATTACCAAATAATTAAGAAATAGCTTCCTTGATTGCACTTGTCTAGACATGAAATATCACTTAAGAAAAACTGAAAACAAATAAATACCCATATACATCTAAATTTTGTTTCAGTCTTGGAGGCCTAGCACTAAAGGAAGAGACAATAAAATATTGTGATAGGTTTTTTCCTTGGCTAATAACTTCATGCCTGCACCAAGCAACTGCATGACTCAGTTATTTCTGAGGTAATACAAATACTTTCTTTTTTGTTAGTCCTTTTCTCTACTACTCATAGCTTTTTATACCCTGTTTACTGCTCACTGTTGTTCCCAGCCAACACTTCTCCAATTTAGGAAGCACTTGGATCTCTTCCCTAGCCATGCACTGACTTGTTAATAGATGATCTACTTCTAATCAAAAAATTCACAGGCCAGAATTTTTTAAAGCTCTACTGAAAGTAAGTGTTGTTTAGTGATCTCAGCACTAACTTTCATCCCTTGATATACAGTACAAATTTGCTGGCTTATAGCAAGATCATATAATGCCTTTGAAAGTCTCTCAACACAGTTAAACGAATGACTGCATCCAACAGTAACATTCATCAGTACAGAAGCCAATGCATTCCCCAGAAGGTGAGAGAGAGCTTCTCCTTTATTCATCAACCAAAAAAGGTGTTCAAGTCGCAACGGTCTACAGAAGACATTCAGGATGTGCTGCTAGCGACTGGACAGAGCGCATTAATGACCCAGCCACAGCACACAACAGATGACATAGTAAAACTATTCAACATGTTCTTGAATTCTGAGGGAAGGAAAAATTTATTTTACAATACCACTTCACAGTTCAGATGAACTCAAGCTATAAAATACAGATTTAGCTCACAGACTCTAAACACGTCAGTGTTTGGGATGTTAGTCTGGTACTCCAGCTAATTCCTTAATGCTAAATGAAAACCAGTGTCAGAAACAGGTTTTATTTCACTCTTTTTAGCTGTGTGCAGTATCCACTGCTGAGACCTATACTGAGGATAGCCATAAGAAATGCATTATTATTATTAAAAAGCTCCTGGTATTGATTTGATTTGTTTTTGCTGTGATTTATAAAGTGATGAATTTTTCCTCTTCACAAGGAAATAAAAACATCCTTTGATCCATTCTGCTATTCAGAAAAGCCCTGCAGGCGGAGCAGCTGTGGGGTTTTTGTTTTCCTTATATCCATATCAATGCATATGGTGTTTTCCAGGTCAGTATTTTCACTGTTGATGATAAACACATTGCTGCTTTACAGATGGCTTATGTATATATACACATATAAAACACACATGGGGAAAAATACTAGCATTCCTATTAAGAAAAAAAAGCCAAGAGGAGGTATTTCTAGGTCTTAACTAATAAGAATTATTCAACCCAGTTGGGGAAGTCTCTCAGCCCCTACAGCAGATAAATTTAATTTTCTGATATTTTTTTTGACAGCTTTCACTGAAAAAAAAATGGATTTTAATCTATTAAAAAACTGTTAAGTTCAAGAGACATTGCTGGAAAACAACGTATCTGCAGGTAAAAGATATGGCAAATTCCCTACCCCTTGAAATCTTCTAGCAGCCAGAGCATTCCCAAGAATGGGCAGTTCGAGGAAGGACTGGGGATGGCAGGTCGGCCTAAGGGTTGCACAGGAATGCTTTGAGCACAGAAATTCAGATCTCTGGGGAAGTCCTAAGAAGACTGTAGGCAAGGAGGATGCCAACTGAGTTCCCCTGGAACTGAGCATTCCTCTGTGAAATGCAGGTGGCTGTGCTTGTTAACTCCTGAAAGGATTAAAGCAGGAAATCCAATACAGGATAACGTACCTGCACATTCCCCACATGTGAAGAATTAAAAATCAATTTTTTTCAGAGACAACCAGATACCCCACCTGTATTTCATGAAATGCTATTTCATCAGTGCAAATTTTGCAGGTAGACACAGAATCTACTGCATTTCAGTCTGCTCTAGGTCTTACATGCAAGGAATTAAGTGAAGCTTCTTCACACAGGATATACCATACAACATCCCTGCCTGTTACCCAACGTGTAGAAACTGCCCCCCCCAACAGAGCACCACACAACAAAGCTAAGTCTTCAAATCTTTCTAAAAAAACCCAAAGCAACCAAACAAAAAGACCATCATTTATCAGCCTGCTGACAAGATTTTTCCTACTAAATCGTGCAGAAGTGAGATTTTCCAATGTTTAGGCTCGGCTAGCTCAAAAGGAAAATTCCCAAGTTAAAAATATTTGGACTCTCCTAGCAAACATCTCAAAACATTTGATAGCTTGCAGCTTGAGTACTACCTGCACGACATTTCAAACCACAGCTTCTGCCCCTTCTTCTTACAACAGCAATAGCACTAATGTGATGCTCTCCAGTGGGAAACAGTGTTATGCGACAAGCACAGTCACCCTCACTGTATCTCCTCTCTCTGTAATTTACATACCTTGCCCTTATGTTTCCTTTGCCAGCCCCTTTTTTAGTTCAGTGTTGATGCTCAGATAAGAAATTAGCCATAAAGCTCTTAGCACATTAAAGCCAAAGATCCACTGCACTCTCCTGCAATTGCAGACACTTGTACACAGGATCCAGGCGTAAAAGCAGTCACATTGTTCTGCAATATCCTCCTAATTTCTTTTTTAGTAATTTTTGACGTTATTGTTGTTCTGTTTAGAATGTCTTCTAACACTTGAAGTGTTATATACAAATATAACAGTAATGATGATAAATGATCCCTCAACTAAGTGTTCCTATGATCAGAAGAAGAACTTGTGTGAAGCAATAATGACAATTATTGTATCTAACATATACAGAGGGAACAAGAAAATAATACCATACTAACATAGATACATAATACCATACTAACTCCCTGCCAGTCCACAGAGCATTCCCAAGGGAGCATGGATTGTACCTTTCTATTTACGGGCTTATTTCCAACAGTTTCCTAAAAGAATGCTGCAAAAGAGTAGCAAGACATGATTCCTTTTTATTTTCATTCTTTCTTGAAAGGAAAAATGCACCAATTCTTGCCTGCAGCTGTAAGGTCACACTGGGACTAACATGGAATTCAGATGAATCGTGGCTCCAGGAGACTTCAGCATAAGAGGTGCTCGGATGAGAACTGCTGTGGTGTTATTCTGTTTTGTAACAATGCTAAACTGAGTAAAAGGAAGTGCTGGATAGCAATGTACAGATACTATGTCTGCTCCCAGGATTCGGAGGAAGGTGGAAGTACATATTCTTCTTTTTCCTCTTCAGTACATATGTGTACAAATTGCATGCAGCTTGCTTGGTCCTGCTTACCGTTACCCCCTGCTACAACTTTAAAACCAAATCTCTTCTTTTTCCTCAGGCAAAAGAATAAGCACTCTTAGACTGGTAAGCAAAATAAAAATCTCTTTTCTTTCAGACACTATGTAATGTTTATTTTCATTTGTAAACCGATTTAGAAAAAGAAACTTTTTAAGTGCTCCTGGGATATATTTGATATGTTCCTCCTTTCTCCTGCCAGGTTCCTCTCCATTCACAGCCACACCAGCTGTAAAATATTCAGAACTCTTTGTTATTTATCTGTGAGATCTTTTTCTAGGCCCACTCGTCAGTCTTCTGAGAGGTGCCTTTGTAGACACTGTTGCACTGGAGTGGACTAGCCAAAGACAGTCTATCCAAGTAGGATTTAAAGTCTAGTTTACAAGACACAAGCCCTGCAGGGTCAGCCTCATTCAGGACACCACTGCCATAAGTCACTAATGGGCAGCTTTAAAAATCAAAATAAAAATCTGTTTTTCAATTTAATGCAGCAACATATTTTGCACAAATAACACTCAGACCAAGAACAAACCTTCCAACCACATGCCAGCAATGCCAGCACTCATTTTAATCCTTTTATATCATTATTTATTGCTTGCTACCATAGTAACAAATGACTCTGCCATAAACAACAACGCTTAACTGGGCTGAGAATTCAATATTGCACTATAAACCCACTGCCCCAAATGAATTCTGCATGGCTAGTTTTCATCTGACTCAAAAACTACCACCACCATCAAATAGCTCAACGTTTCTTCCCTGCCCATTCAGGTGCCATGAACACTGCCCCTTTAAAAGGTCTGTTTGTTTCAAGTTCAACTCCATGCTGTACATCCAGTATCACAGCTGGGTTTTCAAGTTAAAAAATTTCAAACTCATGAAATACTAGACCATGCCCCTGTCATTCAGGCAGGACATATATCAGAGAGCCTTTCTGGTTATACTAAGGTATAACACAAACCGCTATTGCTACCACCAACAATAATAATGATAAGGGAAATAACAAGGGAAGAGAATATGATACCACCCGCCGAAATGAGCCAGACCGAGCAGAGAGTGCCCTTCTGGGTAACTCTCAGTTACCTCCACGGGCACGACATGCTGTGGTATGGAATACCTCTTTGGTCAGTTTGCGTTAGGTGTCCTGTCTCTGCTTCCTCCCAGCTTTTCCTCCTCCCTGGCAGAGCATGAGCCTCACAAAGTCCTTGGTCAGACTAAACATCTGAGCAGTAACTAAAAACAACGGTGTTATCAGCACTGTTCCCAGGCTGAAAGTCAAAACCACAGCTCTGCACCAGCTACTAAGAAGGAGAAAAAATGACCGCTACTGCTGAACCCAGGACAATTCCCTGGTGCGGCATGTATAGTTCCAGGTATGCATGGCTATACACATCAAACAAACAAGCGGCTGTGAGATAACAGGTCATTTAAGGTCATTCATCATGCCCTTATCTGGAATGCGCTTTACACATTAGATCTCCTCTAGTCTCTGGGCTGAGCTCTACTGCTACTCAGAGTACAAAACTGTCCTAAAGTCAAAGATGCT